GGGACCCACGCCCTCAAGCTATAGAAGTCTGGTTCTGGCTCAAGATCTCAGGAAGAATGAGCTTATGGGGGACCTGGAATCTGAAGGTCCTGCTATTCTGCTAGGGTTTTCTGTCCCTCAACTATGTGGTGAGCTCATGGAACCCTTCCTTGCCTGGCCAACCCTAGAAACACACTCTTACATCTGACCCAATGGAGCTGTACCTTTGTGTGGTTTGAAGCCATGATGGTCAGAGGGGCCAGCAGGCTTTTGTGCTTCTGATTTTGTGTCTCCCAAGAAGATTTGAGGAACCTTTGAATTAGAGAAGTTGAGAACCAAAAGGAACTGGACTCAATGTAAAAGGATCTCTTCGCTGAGGGTGGAGTTCCATCTTTACCAATCTTTTATTTTTTTTTAAGTAATATTTGCATTCTTGGGGAGTATAGCATGGCAACTGTTTGGGGCAGTTGCCCGGGATTCTGGAGCTAGCGTTTGCATCACAATCTGCCTTAAGGGCACTACCATTGCTAGCGAGGTGGAAGGGGTCGGGGATAGCCAAGGCAAGGAGGAGTCCAGGACTGGGGAGTGGCAGTGCTAAGGGGGAAGAACCCAGAAAAATCGTGACCTGAGGATTGGGAACAGTCATGTTTGACTCCAGATGTGAATGTTTTGCTCTGTGTCGTTATTCCCTTCTTTAATTTCCAAGATTTTAGTAGAGTAACGTTTTTTTTTAAGGTTAGTTAAACTTAATAGTTTACTATTGGGGACACTTTGGGGACATTGTCCACACTTGGCAAGGAAAGGGGCAGCCGCAGAGCACTGACCTTGGGGAAGGCCAACCGTCACCTGCAGAGGAGCAAAGGAGTACTCTGGAGCCACCGAAAGCAACGGAGAAACAGCACCCACAGTGGCCCAAGACATTCTTGGGAGGGAGGCTCAGTAAAACCCTGAGCTGGCTGCCTGCGGCCAAAGGCCGGGGATTTGGCCCACTATCATTTAGAAATTCAAGGGCGTCCCAAGCCTGCCAAGTTCTGCAGCACCTTAATCCCATAAGCTTGGGATATGGAAATATGAGAGGCCATTTTTTATAAGTATTTATTCTAAGTTCCTACAGTTACGATGTGCAAGAAAACAAATGTCATCATAAAATGAAAATATTCACTAGGAATCTACCCACTTATCAAATTAATGCTCACTCGTACATTCTCTCCTCACTTAACAAGTGTCTATTCCTTCTGGCTGAGGTCAGTTGGGATGCCTGTCAGATATAACGGAACTATACAAGTTCAGTGCGAAGCAACTGCAAAGTTCATGATGAGGTCAAAGAAAACAAGGTTGGAGAACTTCACGTGCACGGTCTGGGACCAACGAGGAGCCGATGGAATGGGATTAGTTAACAAGAACAAATTAGGAGGAGGAGGTGAGGTAGGTTCTCCACAAGAGAATGATTTGAACACTGAAGGATTGAAAGAGGTCTTTGGGAAAATGCATGAAGATCTCAGATATTAAACAGAACCTCCTAATGAAAGTGTATACAGTAAAATGTGAAGGAACCGGTATGTAAACAGACCATCTTGTTGGTACGAAAAATTAATATACCCACACCAAAATCAACATACTTGATTAATTCTTCATTCATTCTAAAAAGTGGTATATAATCTATATTTTGTAATATGTATAGTTAAAAATAACTAAATAGCTTGCTTTCAGAATTTCACTTGCACGATACAATCTCAATGTGACCCTTTAACTTATTGTCGTCATTTCCTTTTTCACAATACAGTTTTGCTGAAAATGTTTTTCACTGTTTACTATGAAAATTTGATTTTTGTTTTAAGTGAATTCACTTATAGTGACTTTTGCTGGTGCCCATGACCCTGACATGATGAGGTTCTATCCAAGTCTTTCTCCGTTCCAGCAGGGCACCTACGGGGTTAAGATGATTTGACTTCCCAGGAGGCCTCATAAGACACAACCTAGGAGGTTCCACACTCAGGGTTTGCGGGGGCCTCAGGAAATGCAAAGGAACTTTGTGTGTATATTCCTCAGTGTGGACACCTACCCCAGGGCTCACTGCAGCCTGCACAGGCGTGTGTATATTCCTCAGTGCGGACACTGCACACCTACCCCAGGGCTCACTGCAGCCTGCACAGGCTATTGGCAAACCCGCGGCTAGGCTGGGTACTGTCGCCTCAGCCCGGGGCGGTTGGTTTTGCCCCAGCCAGGCTAACCACAGGCAGGGAGGGGACACTTACTTGGCTGGTAGGGCTCTGGGCTGCCTGTGGCTCTCCGGGGGGCTCCTCATCCTCGGGAATGTGGGGCATGGCAGCCTCCTGGTGGGAGTGGCCGCAGATGCCCGGAACCTCTGCTGCGTCAGCCCCAAAGATGCTCCAAGAGGCCTGGGCTTCGCAGGCTGAGGAGATGCCAAAAGGACAAGTCAAATCCACTCCCATCCCTGACCCGAGATGGGTTCCATTTCCAGGGGTCATGAGCCACAGAGAGAGCCTGCTTGAGTTTGCGTCAACACCAGAGGTGAAAATCAAGGGCAATTGGAATTGCATTTCCTCCTGTTCACTAGCTCTGTTTACAAAGTCAGAGGTGGCCTTAGAGGTTTTGCATCTAATTTGGTCTTTACCGTAAACACAGCTATCCCAGAAGGGAGAAAAGTGCTTCAAACTCCTCAAAGCCATAGCTAATGGAGGGCACTCTGTTAGGTTCAGATGTGTACTTGCCTACCATTTACTGAGCACCTATTGGGTGTTGCACTCTGTCCTAAGAGCATTATCAACATTGCCTAATTTAATCCTCACGATGACCTCTGATGTAGGCATTAATAGTCACATTTTACATATGAAAGAACTGCTTCAGAGTGTGATGGCCATTTGCTCAAATTTTACAAAGAACCAAGCATTTGAAACCAGATCTTCCTGATTTTGAGGCCATTATACTGCACAGCCTTCTTTGGTCAAGTGGGAAAAGGGGAAAGGATGGTGTTTCCTGATGTCCTACCCCATGGCTCACCTCACACCCTTCAGCAGCTCTCCTGACCCTCAGCATGGGGCTCTCTCATTTGAAGACGCCCTTGTCAGACCTGTCAGCTTTACGAGAACCATGATTCTGGAGGCTTGACCTGAGTGGACCTCATATGCTTTGTGCAGTGCTCACTCCCGGAAATCTTGGGTTGCCTCCCCAAAGCCAGGTTGATCCCCTGCCTATAGTATAGCACCTTGAAGCCTGAGTGGGATTGATCCCCATCAGCATGATCTCATTCACCCCACCACAGTGATTGGCTCAGGGAGAAACAATACATCCAGCATAAGCCAAAGAGCATGTGGCAGTTTTCTGAGACTCAATGTTTTCTCTTGCTCTGGGTAGTGGAGTATGCAGGTGTGAAATCTAGTGCTGCTGATGCCATTTTGCTTCCATGAGGAAGACCAGACTGAGGATAAAACGGACACACACAGAGAATGGGGCAGAGCCAAGAGACCTGCAGAGAAATGGAGCTGGTGCCTTAATCAAAGTTTACCTGCAGGCTGAACTCTTTCTAAATTAGCCAGTTACATAAGCAATTACGTGTCCTAGTGTTCAAGTCAATTTGGGTTGTGTTTATTTGTAAATACTAACTTCCGTCACTTTCATGTAACTCCTGTTCAGCCTGTCCAGTATGGCTTCTCCATACTGAACAGTAACTACTGTTCTTTCATGTTTCTTCCCAGTCAAGAGACCTGAGCCAATGGATCTGGCTCCTCTACTTTCTCCTAGAAAAAGACACAAGTAATATCAGGTCTCCATCGGGAAAGGCAGGATAGCAAGGTAGAAAGAATGCGAGCTTTAGAGTCAGATTCCTGAGTTTGAATCCCCACTCTTGCACTCACTGGCTGTTTGGCCTTGAATGTTGGCTTTGCCTGTAAGCCTCAGTTTCCTTATCAGTGGAACGAAGATAAGAATGCCTCCTATATATTCTTTTCCAAGGATGGAATGAGGTAGAGTGTCCAGCATAGAGTAGGTACTTACGGAGGCCATGTAGGGGCAGGAGGTCTGCAGCCCAGGAAGCCTGGCCTGAGTCCAGAGGGCTCTGCCTGGCCTCTTCCCACCTCTAAGCTCTTTCAGGTCCCTTTCCCCTAGTGGGGTAGGAGATGCCTTCCAGGACCTGCAGAACCAGCCTGATTCTGCAACTTCAGGTTCAGAGATTCCCTGAAGGAGCTGCTCTGCTGGATGGCAGATGAAAACCACCAAACGCTGATGTCATCCTCAGATCATGCCACCACGCACAGTTAGGGGGCCACTGGGACACACACAGAACAAAAAGACACTGTCATTTAATGAGTACCTACTGTGTTCCGGGCACTATGCAAGGTGCAGACTGCTGGAAGCTGCAGGAGGAAGAGCCCACCATCTCCAATGATACTAGATACTTTTCTGTCCCACAGAAAAGTCACAGAAAGGGCCTGAGCCAGAGAGCTGTATGGCAGGCTCAGATCTGGCACCAGCCACAGCCCTGACAAACACCTGCACCTGACACACACACCTCTGCCTGAGTTCCCCGATGCAGGAGGGAAGTCTGATTCATCATGGGTAACCAGAATATTTATCCAAAATTTTTGGTTGGTTTGTATTTTAAGAACTAGAGAACTTTAGCCCCGAGGTTGGTTGATGTGACTATCATCTTAACTTTTGTCATTCTCTGCAGTGAAAAGGTAGTCCCGTTTAGCTCTGAAACAGTTGAGGTGACCCCTGCTGGTCATTTCAAGAAATCTCATCTGAAGTAGAATATCCACAAAGTGAGTCATTCATTCACTCATTCATTCATTCACCACAAACACTCATTTTACACCTAATCTACCAGGCCCTGTGCTAGGTGCTGGTGACATAAAGATGATAAAAATGTGGTTCTGGCCTTCAGGAAGAATAGAGCCAAGTGGCAGGAGGCAGTTGGAAACCAGTATACTGGGGTAAATACTTTGAAAGTGAGAAGTTGCAGGATGCCAGAGAAGGGTCTCTACCTATGGAAATTATGATGGCTGATATAGCCTTAGTGGAGATTCCACATTAGAAATAGTGTTTGAGCTGAGCTGTGAACTTTGAAATATGGAACGGAATTTGAAAAAACTAGCTGGAGGCCTAGAGGGGGAGGTTAGACAGGAAGGGAGAAGCCATACTGGACAGACTGAACCTAGCTCTCAGGAATGGGAGAAATGGCGCCAGGTCATGCTGTGTCTCTCATCCCAAATGGTCACTATATGAATAAATTGAGCATCATATTTGCCCAAAGGTGAGTTCTACGATTAATTTCTATCACTTTTACTTGTACTTTGGCAGCAGCAATATTAGTAGTGCAGGTAGCAAGGTAGCAAGAGTATCCACAAACCCCAATTCTACCAGGAAAGTTAGCTGCACCTCTCAAGAAACGTCTTAAAATGATATGGGATGTACGTGCAGGTCCAGGCTGTCTTAATAGGAGTATGATTTTCAAAACATGGGAAGTATTTCACTTTTCCACTATATCTTAATCTACATGAAGTGTATTGTGCTCTGCATGCCAAGAAGGATTCAGACAAGGACAAGATTGTGTTTAAAGAACTAAAGATCTTTAGCCTGGAGAAGAGAAGGTGCAGAATAAAAGAAAATGTCTTCTCAGATATTTGAAGGTCCCAAAGGACAGGTGCATGAACGATGACTGAAAAATCGAATCAAAGCAAGATAAAGCTTTCTAGTGGTCGGAGCCATCTGAAGATGCGACGGACTGCCTTTCAGGGTAGTGAGCTCCCTATTCTGAGGAGAGTTCCAGCAAAGGCTGGGGCAAGGATCACAGGATTCCTAACACACTTCAGTAGTCTTTTCCAATCCTGGAAGTCCCTAAAATCCAAGAGACTTCCTAGTCACAATAAGCCACAGATTTGATGGTCCCATCCCATAGGATTCTGGCATCACGGTATTGCAAAGTTGCATCAGAAATATCTTCACTTTCTCTCCTCCACCTCCTGCTCCTCAAGAAAGACCTGAAGTCAGTCGCTGAGTCAGAAAACAAAGTAAAACAGAAACAAATTAAGTCAGACAAGCACTAAGAGGTGTCAGCTGCTACAGGACAAAGCAGAGTGGAGGCTGGCTGAGGTCCCGCACTTGACAAGATGGAACCCCGAGCTCCTGAGGGGGAATCCCAGCAGCCGCGCCTGCCGAGGCCATTCCCACGCTGCTCCTGCCTTGTTTGCTTTCTCTTCTGTCCCTTATTATACTCTGCTTAAAATAGCAAGGTAAAAGCAGATGTGACATCTGGCTTCCACTGGAGCTCGTGGGCACACGGACCTTGCATCCATCACGGCAAAGTTTAGAATACAATCTCCAGGAAGTGGTGATCTAGAGCACCGACCCATAAAAGGGAAAAATATTTAGTAACGTTTGGTCTCCAGCTGCTCCTTCTTTAACTCATTTTTAAGGCCCTTCTTGCTGCCTCTCCAGCCTGGTCAGTGAAGGGTTAGATGTGTTAGCCAAACAGCTCTTTGGACTCTATTCATTATTCTGCCCCTAGCCAGTGTTTAAGTATCACCGGACCTTTTTTACAGGAAGGAAAACTGAAGTGCAGAGAAAGGAAGCAGACAGTTACTGTTGAACTTGGTGCAGATTATCTAAGAGCCTCTGCTGGGATAACTATCCAGTCATTTGTGTAAATGAAAAGGCCAACCATCTCTAAAATATACTCAAATATTTTATCTGCCCCTGGCCATGCTCATGAAAGAAAGCAAACTAATATATTTTTCTTAATTCTTTCATTTATCAGATATTCCTAGGTTACCTACTGAGTATCGGATACTATGTTAGGTGCATTTCAAGTGCTATCTTGTTTAAACCCCTGTGAGATGGGTTTCATTGTTTCCATTTATAAATTAAGGAACTAAGAATCAGAGAGGTTCAGCAATTTGTTCAAGATCACATGGCTAAAAAGTGGCAGGCCGAGGATTATAACCCAGGCTAGTCTGATTCCAAGGTCCATCATGTTTCTCCGCTTCTACTCTGTCTCCTCCACCAGGAGTTCTGTTAGAGTACACAGCAGAAGCATGAGGATCTGCCCCACAAAGAACTGGAGTGTGCATCCCCAGTGGGGCTAAGGATGGTCATAGGGCAGGTTGTCAGGCCTGGGGTCTCATGAGGGCAAAAGAGTGGGCCCACAGTTTGAGGGTACATGACCCCCGCTGTGGGATGGCAAATCTGTCCATTCATCCATCTGTCTGTTGGTCCATTCATTCACCCACTTGCCTTCTGACTTTCTTTCACACAACTGTCCATTAGTTTGTCTGCTTACACTTTCACCCCAGAAAGCCCCATGCTTCTTAAATCAATAGCATAGGCTCTGCCCCTGGGAATAGCCACTGTAGGATCCTGTGGGCTGTGGGGAGGGCAAGAGAGTAGGAGAGGGCT